GGACCACAGGTGCCCGCCAAAGCGCCCGGCTATTTTTTTGTTGCAGTTTGGCCAGGGCCAGGTTTGAACCCGCCACCCTCAGTATATGGGGCCAGCGCCCTACTCACCAAGGCACAGGGGCTGCCCCTGTTATGCCATTTTTAAAAGAAAAGTGCAGCATGCTAGGAATTGATGCAGAATGCACTTTAGTTATGCTATATAGTTTACAAAATAACTTAATAGGGGTCTAATTTAACAATTGAGCAAATGGTGCTATTCAGATTATTATATAACCGATTCACTTTTCTAAAATTTGGAAGTGACTGATTTAAAACAGCTGTGCATTGTCTTACCCGCCCCCCCGCCCCCGTGAGCTGTTTCCTGGGTGGCAAAGTACTCTCTGTCATATTGAATATTCAGAACCTGCCAGTTTGTTCATAGAAACGTGCACAACCTCAGGTTTCCCACAAGTAAACTCACACAAAGCAAGATCAGTTTCTGGACCAACCTTAGAACTGGAGCCAGTGCTTTATTTGTCTGAATCTCAATTTTTATCATGAAAAGAAGGATAATACCAAGTATCAATAGTAATTTAATAACACACGTAAAGGCCTAATTAGAATTTTAATAGATGTACATTGCTGATATTTGTTGTTTTATTGTTGTTGATAGTCATTCTATTAAAATCAGGACATTTTCCAAAGTTTGGCAAATTCAAAATTTGGTTGTTGAAAATAAACTTGAGTTTTTCCTAAACTATATTTATCATACTCTTAAACGTAGTATGTTTCCCAGAGTCTAATAGACACGATGAATCCTCTGTGTTATAGAATCCACCGGCAACATTTTTAATACTTGTGAGTTTCCATTCATGAATAGATATCAAACTCGTCTTCAAAACTATAACCATGAGAACTGTCTTTGCATTTTTTTAAAAATATGGTTTGCAAATGTAAAAACCCAAGCTTGTTATGTCAGTTGGAAAGTGATCGTTCTCAGTTTGGGCTTATTTGGTGCATATTCCTACACATCACCTGTGGGAATACAGGAAAGACAGGTTGAGACTA